TTTGCCACTATTCTATCCAAAAAAAAAAAAAAAAATCAATTATGTTAAATGCTACAAGTTTAGGCATCACAACATTATAATATACAGTATGAAAAGTGGATATTCATTTTGAGATTTGCTAAAGATTACATTTAACATTGTTATTAAATTATTCATGTTTTTAAAGATCAACTTAAGTGAGTGCTAGATGATGGCATAAGTAATGTAAAAATAGGGGATATGAGCATGTAATGAATTAAACTAATGAATTAAATATCCATTATGGGCCAATTTCTGATTAATATCACTCAATACCATAAATATATATATATATCCAATATCGGCCATTGATCTATTAGAACATAATATTTCAGGGGAAAAAAAGATTTAGAACTGTGTTCACATGAATTTGCCACACTGACCAACAGAAAGCCACTTGGTTTGAAAATGTTTTCTGTCCGAGATGTGCATCATACATCGCTACACTACTGACAATAGATTTTGTTGCCAAAATGTTGCTAATCTGGCCACACCTTTACACTAGCCATTGACCACAAAAAAGACGCTAAGAAAAAAGGTTCTGAATAAAGAGAACATCTGGCTAATGGTCAGTCCCACAGCAGGAGCTTTGAGATGCTGTTGAATTTAAATGATGCTCTAGTTCAGAGCGTTTGAAGATAAAAGTCAAAGGTCAAGGAGGTGACGGAGGTATGGATGGGGATCAGGTGCACATCCCTTCCACATCAAACCATAAGAACTGGCCATTAGCTGTTGATGGAGGCACAGTCAGGTTGCCACAGCTGCCACACAGACACACTCCAGCCCATTTATACTGGCTGAACTGAGCTGTGTAAATGCAAAAGTGAGATTTTGACTTCAAAGATAAACCTAAGAAGAGGAGTGTGTTGTGGCTCATGACAATAGAATAATTTGAGGAGGCACCAACTGATCAATCACAGATGTGTCTAAAAGTCCCATCTGCAAACCCATAACATGACTTAGAGTAAAACATGATATTCAGTGAAAAAGGAAATGTAAGATTATATATATTATATATTTGTGTACATTAAAGGCACAATATGTAAGATTTTTTTATAAAAATATCCAAAAACCACTAGAACAGTGTTATATATTTTGCTGACTTGTGTACTTGCATTATCCCATGTTTCGAAGAATGTTTAAATCCAAAACACGCTTTAATATGTTGTGCGTTTTATTAGACAGGTGACGACCGCACAGAGTAGCATTATAACAGAACTTTCAATCGTATCTAGTATGATAAAACAGCGCTGCTTTTTTTTCACACATACGCACGACCGGAAGGAGCGGAAGCAGTCGACTGTGGCATAATAAAAGCTCCGCTGCTTTCGAGCCGTGTGTCACGCTTGTTCAGCGGCCTCGTTTCGCTTCGACGGCTTTCAGCCTCACCCTGCTTCATTCTACTACGTTAATAAATCATTAGCTCATCCATGAACA